ACATTATGCAAGTGCTACAAATCATTGTAGAAGATCTATTGTATCCAGAGTTAATTATACTGAAATCTAATAAGGTTTCACTGAATATATACAGTATGTATATATGTATGTATGTATGTATGTATGTATGTATGTATGTATATATGATGTGTGTGTATGTGTGTATAATATTATATAGTCTTTACTTGCAAACATTGTTACTATGATGCACATTTACAATAAATTGTTAAATTTATATTCCATCCTTTCACCAAAAACAATGTTCAAGTTGAGCAATAATAAAATGCTACTAATATAAAAAAACAAATAATATTAAAACAAAAAGATTAAAATAAAGGAAAACCTGCTCAATAATTATTGGAATCTTTGCAGTCCCTTGTACTTATCTTATTTTGTTCCTAAATCAGCTCTGATCTGGACAGTTTCATTGAAGTCCAAGATAAAAGCAATCAAAGGTAAGTCTGTACTTTCAGTTTGTGACTTTTAATTTATTTGCTGTGGTTAGACACATATGTGGTATAACTTGAGCAGGAAAATACTAAATGTGAAACCAAATATAGGTGGTCCTCAACTTAAGACCATAAGGAAATGCAAAAGTGAGTCCAGATCCCAGAGGCATTTTTTATTACAACAATACAATTTGGAGTTTATGTCAGGAGCAGGAGTGATTGGCTCTAAAAGTATTTCCTTATTCCTGCAAAGTTGCACTATTGATAGAATGTCTTAGTAGAAATTGAAGGGGAATAACATGGCATTTGCTTCTGATTTTGGAAAAATAGCTCCATAGCAAACAATTTATTTACTTAATGACTGTCTATTCACTTAACAACAGTGGTGATTCACTTAATAATCTCTGTAAAAAAGATAATATCAGGTCAGCCACATGTGTGACCACCTTTACAATTGTCATGGCTTAGAAGTGTAATGCGCAGCCTTCATTACGGTCATAAGCTGAGGACTAGACATTAATATGTATTTTTCTGATTTTAGAAATCTGTTAAGAATAATCCACATTGAGTGTACTTTTTCTGCACGAGATCCACTAAGAATAATCCACATTGAGTGTACTTTTTCTGCACGAGATCCACTAAAAATAATGGGAGTTTTGCAAGAAATGTGTATTATCTTATATCTGATGTTATGTTTTCTCTTCTGGGCTGCACACTTGAATAGCAATGTTTTTTTTTAAGTATTCATTTAGATTTTAGAACAAATGTATTATATTACAGCCAGCCTCTCTGAGCTGCTGCTGAAGACTGTGTTTCCAGAACATCTATTAAAACTGTTTATTCTATTTCTAATAAGTAAGGATTTTCTGTGTTCCCCACATGAATATATTTCAGTTCAATGAATTGATTTCACTAATAATTATTGAATTAGAACTATATGAGAGGAGTGTTTGTCAAGTTAAATTTATACTGATGATAGCAGTTACTGTATTTGCCTTTTTATAATAATTCTTTTTGAAATTTAAAATTAGAAATAAATGAATACAAATTAAGAAAAATATAAAAAAGAAAAAAAGAGAAAGTGCAAAAAGGAGGGAAAAGAAGCAGGACAAAAGGGGAAAAATAAAAAAAAAAATAGAGAAAAATATTTTCCCTCTTCATCAAGACAAGTATAAATATTTTCAATATATTAACATATTCTTTAACATTATACTCAAAATTATTTTCAGCCCATATCTCATTGTTTATCTATTGACAAACAAGAAAACCTCATATTTCAATTTGTTTTGTATATATTAAACAAACTTTAAATAAGTAAATTAATTTCATTTACATAATAGGTTGTCATTTTATCATCTAAAAATGCAGAGAAAAAACTGTTCTTCCCTTGTGTTATCTATAAACAAATCTTTAAAACCTCATCATTCAAATGTATTCAAGAAATATTCTATGAACAGCTATTCAAACCACAAATTGAAAATAATTGTTAATTCCTTCCAGTGATATTCTAGAAATTCTTATCCTCTCTTCATCTCCTCTGAAATCACAATATCATATCTTATCACTTTCTCTAAAAATCATAGAATCATAGGGCTGGAGAGGGTTGGAGTGTCCAGGGTCCAAATAGCATCCAAAATTAAATCAGAGTCCAAGGCAAAGTATTGCTCAAAGTTCCATTTATTAAGAGAGCCATGTTGGCACATCTGGGAAAACCCGAATCTGAAAGCTTCCAAGGTTTTCCCACCTAATTGAAAATTCTAGATCTTGCCCCACACCCACAAATCCATTACATGGTCNGCACATCTGGGAAAACCCGAATCTGAAAGCTTCCAAGGTTTTCCCACCTAATTGAAAATTCTAGATCTTGCCCCACACCCACAAATCCATTACATGGTCCAATCTCCCACTGCCATGCTGGTAGTTACGCCCATCCGGTTCCGGTCAGGTGCAGTTCAGGTCAGGTGCAGAAGTGCAGAGACAAAGGATGACCTTGGCTTTCTAGTAGGAATTTTGTTTTGGCTACATAGCACCTAACTCCTTACAATCCTCCCTTCCATTTTCCCACAAAAGAAAATACATAGTAGAATAATAGAAAGCGTGGCAGGCCAAATATCCAAAAGAAAGATGGCTGCAGGCCTGACCTGGAGATCTTCTAGTCCAGCTCCCTGCTCAAGGCAAGAGACCTTATTCCAACCTGGACAAATGGCTGTCTAATCTTTCCTTGAAGATCTCAAGCGATGGAGCACCCACCACTCTGGGAAGCAAGCTGTTCCAATGATTCATCGTTCTTACTGTCAGGAAATTTCTCTGTAGTTTCAGATTGGATTTCTCTTTAATCAGCTTCCAGCCATTGTTTCTGGTCCTGCTATTAGGTGCTTTGGAGAATAGGTTAACCCCCTCTTCTATGTGACAACCCCTCAAGTACCAGAAGACAGCTATTATGGTTTCCATAATTCTATTCTTCGTTATGCTAGACGCAGCAGATCCTTCAACTGTTCATCTTACAGTTTAGCTTCCATTACCTTTGTCTGGAATCTTTACTGTTTGTTGCTATTCTCTGCACTCTTTCTAGGCCCTTCATGTCTTTTTGTGTTGTGACGACCAGAACTGAACACAGTATTCCCAGTGTGACCTCATTTGTGCAATGTAGAGTGGTACTATCACTTCTCCTGATCTTGATATTATCCCTCTGTTGATGCAATTCAGGACTGCATTGGCTTTTTTGGCTGTTGCAGCACCTTGCTGGCTCATGCTTAGTTGATATACAGTAGAACATAAAGATCCCTCCCACTGTTACTACTGTACTACTACAGGTACCTCCTATTCTATTCCTAAGCATTTGGTTTTCTCCCCAAGTGCAAGACATCACCTTTCTTTGAATTGAAGTGTATCTTGTTGGCTAGGACCCAAGTCTGTCAAAGTCATTTTGAATGTTAAGTCTATTTTCCAAAGTATTGGCAAATCCCCCCAACTTGATATTGTCTGCAAATGTGATGAATTCTCTTTCTATTGCCTCATCTAGATCATTTATGAAGATGTTGAAGAAAAAAAATCATATATAAAGCAGGACAGATAGGAAGAATACCCAGAGTCAGTCATAAAGAACTCAGATGCCTATACACTAACTCTCAAAGTTTGGGGAACACGTAAAAAGCAAAAAAAGGAAACAATAAGAGAAGTTGGCAATGAAGCAAGGGGCAACAGGGAGAAAGCAGAGCTGCTTAATTCAATTTTTGCATTTTTCTTTGTACAAAAGGAAAAAAATAGCCCAACCTAACAAAAACAGAATCATAAAGAACAGACTAAAAATACAAATTAAAATAGGCAAGAAAATGGTAAGACAACACCTGTCCACCCTACATAGTTCAAATCACCAGGAACTGGTGGATTACATTCCAGAGTTCTGAAGGACCTGTCAGATGTGATCTGTGAACCATTGAACTGCATCTTCAAAGATCCTGGAGCACCAGAGGACTGAAAAGAGCTGACATGCTTCCCATCTTTTTTTTAAAAAAGGAAAAAAAACAACCACAGGTCCAGGAAACTACAAACCAATCAGCTGACATCAGTACCTGGGAAGATCCAGGAAGAGATAATCAAGCAAAAGTTCTGCAAACACCAGAAAGCAAGCAAAATTATAACCAGAAGCCAAGATGGGTTTGTCAAAAACAGATCATGCCAAACAAATCTTATTTCATTCTTTGACAACGTGACTAAGCTAGTGAACCAGCAAAATGCTGTCAACATAACATTTGAGTTGGATTTCAGTGAGGCATTTGACAAAGTAGACCGCAACGTACTTCTTAGTAAGTTAGAAAAATGTGGGATAGACAACATCTCCACCAACTGGCTGACAAACCACACTCAACGTATAGTCCTTAATGAAACTACATCTCTATGGAGGGAAGTAAGCAGTGGGTACCCCAAGGTTCTGTCTTAGGCCCGGTACTCTTTAATATCTTCATAAAGAATTTAGATGAGGGAATAGAAGGGGAACTCATCAAATTTGCAGATAATACCAAGCTGGCAGGAATAGCCAACATCCCAGTAGGCTCAAGGTAGGCTCAAGATCCAAAAAGATCTTGACACATTTGAACAGTGGGCCTGTCTAATGAAATGAAATTCAGTGGTGACAAAAGTAAAGTTTTACATTTAGGCAAGAAAAACCAGGTGTAGAATATGTGGATCCTGTCTCATTAGCAGTAACTGAGAGAGAGATATATGAGTCTTAGTAGACAACCACTGAAATATGGGCCAGAGGGCAATGCAATCCTGCATTAACAGAGGGATAGAATCAACTTCATGTGAAGTGTTAGTACCTCTTGGAATACTGCATCCAGTTTTGGTCACCATGTTATAAAAAGATGTTGAGACTCTGGAAAGAGTGCAGAAAACAGCAACAAAGATGATTAGTGGGCTGGAGGCTACAACATATGAAGAGCGATTGCAGGAATTGGGTTGGTCTAGTCTAATGAAAAAAAAGGACTAGGGCTTGATAGCAGTGTTGCAAGATTTGAGCAAGTGCCTCAAAGAAGAGGGCATCAACCTATCTTCCAAAGCACCAAAAGACAGGACAAGAAACAGTGAACGGAAACCAGTCAAGGAGAGAACCAACACAGAACTAAGGAGAAATTTCCTGACAGAGAGAACAATCAATCAGTGCCCGCCTTCAGAAGTTGTGGATGCTCTATCACTGGAGGTTTTTAAGAAGAAATTGGACAACCATTTGTTCAGAATGGCATAGGATCTCCCGCTTGAGCAGTGGATTGGACAAGAAGATCTCCAAGATCCCTTCCAATTCTATTATTTGTCAAATGTCTTATTGGAGTCCAAGCAAACTATATCCACAGCATTTCCCTTGATACACATATCTAGCCATTTTATCAAAGAAAACAATGATGTTCATCTGACATGATCTGTTTTTAACAAACCCTGCTGGTTTGTAGTGATCGCTCTGTTCATTTCTAGGTGTTGACGAATCTGCTGCTTGATTATCTTTTCTAAGATGTTCCCAGGTATTGATGTCCAGCCAATAGTTTTGTATTTTCCTGGATTCACTTTTTTCTCCTTCTTCCAGATTGAAATTCCAGTCCTCTAGCAATTTCCTTGTATTCCAGGAGTCCTGAAAGATTTTGTTCGGTGGTTCCAAGATCACATCTGCCAGCTACTTCAGTACCCTGGGATGTAAACAATCTAGTCCTGGTGATTTGAACTCATCTAAAGTGGATAAGTGGTTTTTAAAAAATCAATTTCTTACCTATTTTGCCCTGCATCCCTATTCTGTCACCCACTGTGTTGCTTTTAATAGATTGAGTTATTTTTTTCTTTCTGCATAAAGACAGATGCAAAACAAAACAGCAATTTCTCTTCCTCCCTGCTGTCTCGTACCTTTTTGCCATCTTCTCCCCTTGGTGGACAGATTATTCCCTTAACAGTTTTCTTGTTCCTTACATATTGAAAGAATTTTTTTTCAACCCAATAAAACAAATACAACAAAACAATTAAAGCAACACCTGAGCTTTCTGAGTTGATGTAGGAAGTGCTCTTTAATGATGTTTTAATGCCAGGTGTCCATTTCAAGTCCTGGGTTGATAGAACCCAGAAACTTGAAGGTCTCTACTACTGATACTTTATTATCTAATATTGTAGTGGTAGAAGAGGAGAGCTTCTCCTAAAATCTACCATCAGTGACATCCAGAGTCCAGATTCCCTACTCATTATATTAGGAGACCTTAACTGTTAACCTATCTCTATTCAGCCCATAGGATTTGGTCAGGTTTGCAATGCATTTTTTATGCAAGCTTGCCGTGATATATAGACCCCAACCAGGGGTGGGTTGCTGCCAGCATTACAGTCAGTTTGGTGTGTGTGCAAGTGAAGCGAGCATGCGTACCAGACATGCACTCTGCGTACATGCACAGTTGCCCAAAAATAGATCTGCGCATGCGCAGAATCTTAAAAAAGGAAAAGAAACATGCTGTCCCGACCAGAGAACTGGTTTGGAGGTGTGGCAGGCATGGGTCACTGCCGGTTCCAGCGACCCAGGTTGGAAAACCACTACTGATTCGAACTGGTAGGAACCCACCTCTGACCCCAACTAGGATGAATGAAGAGAACACTCAGGAAGCATAGAAGCGTCTCTAAGTTGATATCACAATTTTTTTTTAGTGTACAGTAGTGATATTTTTACACCATCAGTTGTCAATATAAAAGTAGATACCTCCTCCTTCTTTTCACTGGATGTTTCTGCAATTCTATCGGTTCTTTGAATCTGAAATCCTGCAATTCGCTCAGCCGGGTTTCAAGGAAGCAGAGGGTTGTTCTGTTGGAAAAATCTGAGTTACTTCCAGGGTTGGGCTTCAAAAATCTTAGCAAGTGGTTCTCTGCCCGGTTTCTGGGTAGGTGTAGCCATGGTGGGCGTGGCCTAGCTGGCCTCCTGCACCATGGCAGAGGGGGTGTTTTTGCCTTCCCCAGGCTCCAGAGGCTTTCCTCAAGCTCTGGGAAGGCAAAAATGGTCTCTCCAGGCTCCGGAGGCCCTCTGGAGGCCAGAAATGGGCCCGCTTTCTTCCTAATTTCTGTATAATTTCTGATAGGCCCATTTTTTGCCCTCCCCAAGCTTCCAAGTGCCCTGCACTTACCTGCATCCAAAATGGGCCATATGGGGGCTGCTGGGAGGGGAGGGATAGGCGGGGCCAGCCAGGAGTGTGATTTGGGGGTTCTCTGAAATGCACAGAATCTTAGCTAGAGGTTCTCCTGAACCCCTGCAAACCCCCAGCAGCCCACCCCCTGGTTATTTCTATTTAAAAGGAGCAGTTCATCCATCTTATTTATGAGTGAGTGAAGATTAGTTAAATGGAGCAAGGGGAGAGGAGATTTTCCTATCCCTCCTCACTTGCCCCTCCCTCTTGTTCCCCTCTTTCTCTTTTGTTTCTTCTGCTCTGTGCTGAAAGAGAGACACCGTTCTCTCAATCAGAATGTCCTCCACATTTGTAAAGATGGGAGGAATAATCCCAGAAAGCTGGTTGATATTTAAAATTCTCTGTCCGATGTTCAAAATCTCATCCTTTGTACAGTATATGAAATTTGCAGTGAGTCACAGAAAATAATAATTAAAAAAAACATCAAAGCTACATTTCACCAAGGTAGCCATCAGCGGCACCAATATTGTTGCCAAGCATTCTTGAATTGCTCCAGAATTAAAATATTTTCCCCCATTCTGTATTATAATCTTTAATTCTATCTGGTTCCCCTTAGCAACTAAGGTCCTCATTTTATCGTATTTTTCTCTGATCCAGAGCATTTCTGAGGAAGAGATTTCTTACACTTAAAGTCAGACCTCCATATATATTTTTATAGGATTTTAAACAAAGAGCAGGAAATATTCTTGTAATTTTTTGAAAGTTTTGTTTCCAGTCACTCATATCTTTTACTCCATTTACAAACTTTCTATAATTAGCATTCCAATCATCCTTTCACTGCAAATTTTTAAAAAGTGTTCAAGTTTTCAACTTACATAAATCTTCTTTTGCTGCAGGTTGGAGGAAAAATACCCAGTTTAATAAAACCTGTCCTTCTGAAAGTTCTTAATGTTCCAAAAGCTATTAACAAGCCATTTCCAATATAAGTGATTAAGAGGAGAGGTGGGGGAACTCAGTATCCTTATGAAAGGCTCTGGCCATAGCTTGAGCAAAGTTTTTCTCCTGAATCCCAGAGCTATAAAACATGCTGGATACAGCTAGTTTATCTTCTCATCAAGGGAACATGTGTAAGGAGTCCTCTGGGCAATCTCAAGTCCATCTTCGGAGACGTGACCCGTCAAAACCGCGGTCGACAAAACCGCGCTCGACGAAAGCGCGAACCTGACGTCATCAGCAGCGCGACGAAAAAAATTAAAAAATAAATTAAATTAAAATTAAAATTAAATTAAAGCAAGCCGATTCACATAAAGGTAAGGGTTAGGGTTAGGGTTAGGTTAAGGGTTAGGGTTAGGGTTACGTTAAGCGTTAGGGTTAGGTTTAGCGTTAAGGGTTACCGTTACGTTTA